TCTGCTCACTATTATTTATAAGTTTTCGTAAATGCGTTCCCGCTGGTATGGAAGAAATAATCGGACATTTACAAATTTAGAAAGTTGCTTAAAGGGCTCGCAGAACTGTATTTGTTCTTCCCTCGGGCCAAGTTCAGAAGGTTTTGTTGTGATTAACGACAGGTGTGTGGCTAATTTACACCCTTCTAACTTAAACTAATAATAAACACAGCAAAATAGGCAGTTGAAGCTTGGTATGTGTACGTCCGGAGAGACAAAACATCTGAGAGTATTCGACTTAACCTGTGATCATTCATTTCGAAAGTATGACCCATAAGACAGGCGTGCATAAGGGGAGGGTCTCGCATATGAAACTTGAGCCTTGAAACCGCCGGTTATAGCACCTAGCCGAAATGAATGTATACTATCCTCTATAAACAAGAAGGTTATGTACTTTAAAGAACTTTCGGAAAGGTCATAGTGACATCCAAAGTGGGTAGTCTGGGAAAGAGCCAGTCAGATAGGGAATGCAAAAAACAAAGCACGATTCAAAAACTGCATCGAACACACTTAACAATTACGAGAGATTCGTTCAATAAAAGTGAGCAATCCTGATTGTCAGAAAAGTTTACGTGAAAATACGATTCCTTGTTCCGGTACTTATCGTCTAAAGTTGGGTTTGCTTTCACACAATAATGTGCTCAAGTACTTCATTAAAAACGATGAATTCCCAAGTTCATGGTGGAAAAAGAGAAAAAAGTCGAAGGCATACCTGCTCGGGGCATCTCTCTAAAAAAGAGATTGAAAAAAAAAGAATTTAAAAATAATAAGTTAAAACCAAAAGAACTTTGGCTGGTAATTATCTAAAAAAAATTCAAAAATCTTGTCTTTAAAAAGAGACCAACGACCCCTGAGGGCGTAACATTAGACGCCCCAAAAAATTAACGTTATCTGACCTCAAGGACATGATGAAGCATTCTTATCCAAGAAATTAAATCGAAAAATTCCGGAAGCATTACCAGCTAAAGATAGGTGACCCAATAAAAGTATTCAAATAGTATGTCTTCTGTTCTGTTTTTCTGTCTTTTTAAAGCGTAGGGAATTTCGGTTTACAGGGTATGAATAGGCGAAAAATAAATAGGAGTAAGATTACCGTGAAAGCCTGTCACTCCACAATTACTTTAGTTCTGTCTTTTAATAAACTGTGCATCTGCACCACTGACTCAGGTCCAGTCAGGTTCCTTAAGGTTCCTAACAACATTCAACCCATAGATCGTTTGGATAATCTCCGAAGCTCGACGCCAAAGAAAAGTGTCCAATTACTCGCTTTTCAGTGCCGTCTTGCTCGTCATAAATGGGAAGTGTGAGAGATCAATCGCTAACATGAATTCTGGCCGATGGCGTCGGGCGTTCGCCATTAAGCCATGCATAAGAAAGGCGAAGTAAGATGTCCCAAGTCGTCACGAAACAGCCTCATCGGAGCAGAACAGCTGAATTAGGGCCGTTCTCTCAAGAGTATTTCCATGCTGGTGGTTGCCATACCAGAAAACCCCTTGCAAAACAAGCAACCTGACTGTATTAGCGCCAAACACCCACCTGGCTTGCAGGCGACGACATAAAGAGTCGCGAGGAATTTGTCTCCGATGGAGGGTCCGGGAGTACGTGGGTTGCGGGGGGCGTATAGTAGTCCTTCAATCGAGCCGGCAGTGGTTGGCCCAATTGCAGGTCCTCAAAGTCCTCTGAGGAACTGAAAGAAGTCGCCGTCCATAAAGCCGGTCGCTCAAACACAGAGTCGGTGAATTGGGGACTGGGATTTTTTTCTGAGACAAAATCAGAGTAAATGCTTGTAAGGATCATGTACTTATTATCTAAACAAATTGGCATAAGCAAGAACTTGGCCAATGTACACGAACAGGGATCATTTTGAGAGAAATTTGAAGCTTTCGATTAACCGAGACGATATGCTTAGTTGACCATGATCTGCTGTGTGAATCACAAGAGGAGAAAATGTGCATCGGTGGGAGAGACAATAGGCGCTCTGTAGGGAGCAACGTTAAGATTATAAATCTGATTACTTCTATGAGTGAATAAACTTTCTCTGATCCCACTTGTGTTGTTGGAACCGGCTAACGAATTCTGACGAGACTGCAGGAGCATTGACTCGCTATGCGAAGGAAGAACAAGCTATCCTTGATAGCTGCCCACGCATCCTCGCCAGGGCGCGGCCTCGACTTCGAACGCGTGAGAATACTAAGCCAGTTACACGACCGAAATTCAAGCCTACTACAGAAAGCATGGCACTCACGTGAAGATTCTATTAATAGGCATTTCGATCTTCCGGATGTTTATCTGTCGTTGCGCGAACAATATCAGAGATCAAAGGCACTCCCGGTAGAGCGAACAATGGCAGCTCAAGGTCCCTCCCACCAGAAGTGAGCTAAATATGCAGTGAGTTGTACACTTTTTAATCCTTTGACAATGGGCTCGCGTGAGAGTTCGAAACGTCGGACAAATAAAAAACTGGTCCAGAAAACGCTTTTCCTTCTCCTATTCAATTACTTTGGCTTCGCGTATTTTCTATCATTCAGAATATACATGTGTATACTAACATGGGTGAAGATTCAATGTCCAGATGAATTATCCCGTTCATCATCCCCCAAAGAAGACGAAGAAGAATAAAAAGGTGCCTTTTTTGAACACACTGCATTTGTGCTAACGCTTCGGAAACATCATGCTTTCCATCGTTGGAACGGGAAGGTGTGCGTTCCTGTTTGCCGAGATTTGTTATGTCTGGCTGTCTGTCTCGTGTTATAGGCATACCTCACGCACGAGCTCTCATTTTCTTGTGGTACGCCCCCTTGTCTTCTGTTGTCTGCACGGCTGTTGTTGTCGCCGTCAGGTTTGTGTGCGTGTCGTGTGCGCTTGGTCGGCTGCTATAGGGCCTCCTCTCATATTCGGGTGGCTGGACCGGTTGGGAGGATATGAACTACGGTATACCGTAAGTCAATAAACACTAGACACATATTCCAGTTCGGAAGTAACCACCCAATTGTGTGTCAGAACTCTATTTCAACGCGTTCAAACAATGTAGCGATGAGAACGGTAGAAAGGAGGAGGCAAGGTATCCCCACTCCCTGTTCACAGCTAATGGTTATCCATGGTCCTTCATACATGAATGCCGATGAAAGCCCACCCGCGAACGAGCAAAAGAGGAAAAACCGAAGTTTTGGCTCGTGATCCCCTACGTGAAGGATGTTTCGGAAGCGGCAGCACGAATCTTGACTCCTTTTGGAATTGGGGTTGCCCATAAATCGCATTCGACTATCCGACAGCACATAATGAAACCCAAAGCCACGTGTTTACTTTTTACTTGACTGCACATGACAGAATACCCCCCCGTCGGTTCGGCTCCCTTGCTTGTTATCACCTTTCCCCACCATGCGATCGGCTGCCCGCTGACACCAGAGACAGTCGCCTCGACTACCGGAGACGATTTTCCGTGACGTGACTTTGTCGTGGAGAGCCAGCT